AAAAAAAGTTAAAATGTCATAAATTAACATTAATGTTGGCATTCTTATGTTTAGTTTAAAAGATATTTCAAATTTCTTTTATAAAAATAAGAATTTATTTGTACCACTATCACTTAAAAAGTTAAGATTGCTGATTGTAGCCGGCAGTGGTGGTATAAGCCTTAAATCCTCAAACTCAGGAGGCAGAGGCAGGTGGATCATTGAGTTCCAGGCCAGCCAAGAATATGTAATTGGACTCTATTAAAATTTTGTTGTTTTATTATTCATTTTAAACGTGATTGCTTCAGTTCCAAGTGGTGGAAGGTGTTTTTTATAAAACATTCCACTAGATGGTGCTCTTTTAACTTCCTGCAGTTTGACTCAGTCGCTGATGTCAAGTTTAACATTTAATGAAACTATATTAGTGGCTCTGACTCAGAATCTTCTTAGCCACAAAACGGAGACTAGACCATGTGAGAAGAGTATAACTGTGGGAGTTCACTGAGAAGGCCCTCCTGCGCAGCAACAGCATAGTACCACCAGGCAGACCCCGGAATATGCATGTGTTCTTCAGGACATACTTTTATAACTTATCAATAATGGGAGTCCTAGACATTAGTAGGTTTTACTTAATAACAGTGCTGAGCTAAATGATTCCAGAAAAACACACTAACAGTGTTCGTGAGGTTCAAATGTCAATAGCCCCTTTTAAAATGGTAAACTTATTTTTTATGTCTGACATTGTATATGAATCCATATAGAGGCCAAAAGGTACCTCTGCATGATACAGACTTTTTTTTTTCCTTAAATTATCACAAAGGAATGAACAAGAACAGGGAAAGCAAATTGAGATTGCTGTTAATATTCAAAAGGGTAAATCAGCTGAGTGTTCATTTCCGGAAGATCTCTCATCTAGATAAATTAATGTTGACAAAAACATGAAGGCTGGTTAGATGTAATGAACCAGGCAGTCGGTATGATCATAAGTTCAAATCCCAGTGGGCCCACTCTGGGACTGCAAGGTCCCAGGCAACGTGCATGAGTCAGTGAGGCTGGGGCCAGCAAAAGTCCTGTGCAATGCTCTTCTTCCTCCAGTTCATTTCTTGAGAATGTGGTGGCTTCAGTGGCTTCATGATCTGACCTCCTGGCCTCTACTAGCAATACTGACCTTGAATAGGGAATAAGGGCAAAAAAGTACACTGATGGTATTTGCTTGTGGATGGAGAAAATAAGATTTTTGAGAAAAACAAAGAGCAGACTACTGTCACATATCCAAATGACGTAGATGGAAAGTTATGCCGTATAACATTGAGCACAAGACAAGTCCCACCTGCAACTTAAAAGTTAATTGAAAATTGTAGGCTATTGCAGTTTGGGATCATTTGGACATGCTCCCCTTCTTTTAATTTGACCAGGCAATGGAATATACTATTTAGATTGTGATCTAGAATGGCTTACAGTAACATTCCAAATTTGAAACCTCAAAAAAAAAAAAAAAAGGTTTGGTAGTCTATAAGCTTATTTTTTGAGGTCCAACAGAAATCTGACTTAATGACAGACTTTTTTCCATATAACATATATATTTTTGCTTATAAGAGTCCCTAGATGGATTAAGCAAATAAGTTCTAGTGATTAGGAAATAATGTGTTCATCACTTGTCACCTAACTTAGAAGTTTCAGTTTCAATATGCATCATATTTCTTCCTGCATTTGTTCAGTAGATTTTTAACGCTATTTAGCAATTTAAACACTCTTATATTATTGTTGTTGTTGTTGTTAAAGCAGTATCTTCTTCCTCCAATTTCACAAAATTTTTCTGGATTGCAGAAACTTAATTTGAAGTTTTTCAAGATACCGAAGATTTATTTTTCTTTTTGAGTTCTGGAAATTTTCAACATACAGTGTTAGAAATCTCAGTGGAAATTTTTGTTTGTTTTTCAAGACAGGGTTTCTCTATGTAGCCTTGGCTGTACTGGACTCTCATTGTAAAACAGATTAAGCATCTATGAAGTACTGTTTAGTAAAAAGTAGACCAATTTTGCACAAATATTTGAAAAACTAAAAACACCTGTGTAAGGAACATTGATTTAATAGTTATTTAAGTTTTATTCCTTTGAAAATTGTTGGGCTGGAGAGATGGCTGAGCACTGACTGTTCTTCCTAAGGCCCTGAGTTCAATTCCCAGCAACCACATGGTGGCTCATAACATCTATAATGGGATTTGGTGCCCTCTTATGGACTGCTGGCACACCTGCAGGCAGAATACTGTATTAATAAATTAAAAAAAAATGTTGGGTTTTATTATTTTATTTATTTATTATTAATTTTTTGAGACAGGGGTTCTTTCTGTAGTCTTGGCTGTCCTGGACTTGCTTTATTGACCAGGCTGGCCTGGAACTCACAGAGATCTACCTGCCACTGTCTCCCTGACTGCTGGGATGACAAGCATGTGCCACCACACCTGGCTCTCAGTGGAATTTTTCAGCCACTGTACATCTGCATGTTAAAAGTACAACAAAATGCCTCATAATCTGGGGCTTTATCCCTTCCAGGCATTTTCGCCTCAAGAGAGTTTCTTTGTACAGCACATGCTATAAAGTACTTTTCCAGTATCTGCTAGAGAAATAGGTGTGGTGAATCAGGACGTTCCAGTTTAGTTGTGACTGGAAAAATTCCTAATACCCTGGCATCATTAAGACCACGAAGTTGACTTAGAAACTCCATAAAGGCCCTTCAAGTACACAACTATGTGAAAATAATTAAGAGTGTGTCAAATAAGCCAGGTGTGGTGACAAATTGCATTTATTCTGAGCATTTGGGAGGTAGAGGCAGGCACATCTCTTATGAGTTTGAGGCCAGCCAACAATATATAGTGAGACCCAGTCTCAGAATAGGGAAACAACATGCCCCAAATATTCTTGGCGCTTGTGACTGTCCTCCTAGCCAAGCGTCCTCCATCATGCACAAGTTCAGCTGTTGTCCCTTGCCAAAATTATATATATATATATATATATATATATATATATATATATATGTATATATGTATCTCAGCTGGTGGAGGGGTGTATCCAGCTGCTACTAGCACCTGCTGTATGTGACTGTGCCTGAATTGCATGTCAACCTTCCCAGTGCTTCGACCCTTTAATACAGTTCCTCAAGTGGTGGTGGCTCCCAACCATAACATTATTTTCGTTGCTACATCAGAACTGTAATTTTGCCACTGTTAGGGATCATAATGTAAATATGTCTTTTCTGACGGTCTTAGGCGACCTCTATGAAAGGGTCATACGGGTCATTCCGACCCCGGATGGGTTGCGCGACAGGCAGCGAACCGATGGACTAGAGATACCGATAGGGAAGACTAGAGGAGAGGGGCTGCCCACTTAGGAAGCTACACGAGAGAAGCCTCCATCCCTGCTGTGTAAAAGCTTTCTAGGTGTGGCCTTTTGGGCTGAGGAGCACCCGCACCCCTTTACATAATCCATCCATACTCTTTAAGGAAGTCCAACAAACTCTCTGGTTCTCCAAATTTTCTTTGAGGACCCTAGGAGAAGCGGCACGGTGGCTTATATGTCCCCTGGGATGAAATTTTAGCGATAGTCTCAAGGGATGATGCAGCGGTTAATACCACTTGCTATTCTTCAGAAGATCTGAGTCCCATCGCCAGCACCCCCACGGAGGCTCACAACCACCTGTAACGCCAACATCAGGGAGTCATTCCTGGGGGCACCGCGCACGGATGGAGTGCGTAGACATACGTGAAGGCAAAACAAGAATACATAAAATTTAAAATTGTGTGAAATAAAAACTATACGTTTAGAATCTTGAGAGAGAATTCATGAAACACAGAAGGCACCTGTTTGGGAAGAGGAAGGGAATCAGTAGAAGGGACAAGAAAGGGTAATGGGTGATGAACATGACCAGAATATAATGAAACCCATTATTTTGTACAATACATGCTAACACGTTATTTCAAAGCTAAACGTTTTTACACTATTTTTGCTATTTTTTTTTAATTTTTATTTTTTACAAAGGAAATCTTAAGCCTACACATTTGAAAAAACCTGGTGACTACGCACCAAGTGTACCAAGTGGTAATTCAGGATTTGCCACGCCAAGAGGAAAAGTTTAAAGTCAGCTCTCTAGGTCGCTCGTCTGTCTTGTGACCCCAAGCCTTTGGGGCTAATTGCCTATAAGCCCACGAGTGGAGCGGAAAACGCCCTACTTGCTTTAGGTCGGGCCGCTCAGGAGAGGCTCAGGGGTAGTCTCCCGCAGCTGCTGGCAGCTCCCCTGCTGTCTCCGCACCGGCTCTCAAAGTGTGCCCCTCTTTGACGTGACCGGCAGCTTCCACGTAAACGACTTGACCGATCAAGGTGCCAAGAGCGGTTGCACGTCAGGGACTTACTTGGAATTTCTTTCCCAACTTCACTCCCCCACCTCCACCCCCCCACCTTGGCACCTATTCGCAGCTGGGGAAGGAAGTGAAGGCGGTCGAGGCGCCAGTTCGCATCCCTGCCGGGAGCCCGGACGACCCCGGGAGCAGTCTGAGGCGCCCGAGCACCAAGGCTGGCCGAACCTCACAACCGGTAATAATGGGGGAAAGCGCCCTGGGAAACTGCCTCAGCCATCGTCCCGTACCCACGCACCGAGCCGCTCCCACTCCAGCCTGCGGACCCCGCGACCACAGCTTTCTCTCGCGGAAGGGGCGTTCCCGTCGGTTAGCACCGCGCCCCGCCCCCCGGCGCGCCCGCCCGCTGGGAGTCCCGAAGGTCGTTCCTGGGCGGGGTCTCCAAACTCTCGCCGCTCTTGACTGGTGTCCTGTTGCTAAGCGACGGCCAGGGGGCGGGGCCAGCGGGAGAAGGGCGGTGCTCGGTCCCAGGGGCACGTGCGGGCCCGCGGCTGCGCAGCCGCCGTCCCTCCTTCCCTCCGGCCCTCCCGCTCCCGGCCGCGCCTCCAGTGCCGCGTCGGCCACGCCCCCGCGCTCGGGCCGAGCTGCGCACGCGTGGTGCGAGCGGCTACCTTCCGTCTGCCCGGCGGCTCGCGGGGCGGCGGAGCGACCCGGTGGCACCGGCGCCGCAGCTTCAGCGGACCGGGAGCCGGTAAGCCGAGGCGTCTCGAGGGAGGAGCAGCGCGGGTACCCTCCGCGGCCGAGGGGAAAAAAAAATGGTATTCGAGTCGGTGGTCGTGGACGTGTTGAACCGCTTCCTGGGAGACTATGTGGTGAACCTGGACGAGTCGCAGCTCTCCCTGGGCATCTGGAAAGGTAACGGGGTCGCCGTCCCCAGGGCGCGGCCTCTCGGGGCCGCGGGGCTTGGCCAGCCCGGCGCCGCCACCTGCAGCTGCCCGCCTCGCCCTTCAAGTTATGTAAAGCGGGGCGGCGGTTCCCTGGCGGGCGGCGAGACGCGGGGGGAGGCGCGGACTGGAGCCCGGGTCCAGCCCTGTCAGTTTCCCTCCGGGCTGTAACGAAGGCCCCGGCGAGCCCACGGCGTGTCGCACGCCGCCTCGCACGTGAAGGCCAGGCGCTGTCCGCGAAGACGCCCTTCGTCCCTTCCCTACCTGGTTTCTGGGTGTTTTCCGGGCGGGTTCCGGCCACTGAACCTGGACTTGGGGCTTGCTTGGCTCGGGTAGGCAGATGACAGCGGGGAAGAAAAGGGAAGGAAAGCCCCATTTCAGAGTTACTCAGGGAGCTGCTTCTGTTTTCAGGTCGCCGCCGGAGCAGGTGGGAATGTGGGTGTTGGTGAGCCTGAGTAAAAGGCCTGGTTTTAAAAGAAAATTAAAACAGTCGGTCAGGACCTGAATCGGCTTTCAGTGTCACGGCCGACCTGAAGAAGTCATGATGAGCGCACCACTGCATTTGCTTAGACGGAAAGGGCTGCATCTTCCTTTTCCTTTTACTGCAATGCTTTACCTTACTCACTGTCTTATTTTTAGTGCTTATTTTTATCTGCTTTGTATTATGTTCTTGTTTATTTTAAGTAGCTATTAGCAATTGGAGGCCTTCTTGAAATGAACGTTCCAGGCCAAAGTTAGGGTTAATTATTTGTGTAAATAGTGTGTGCATTGTCGGATAAGCACTTACTTCCCAGCTTTCTAAAAAACACTAGTTGATCTTGGGCCTTTTTATATTTGAAATAGTGGAAACAAGTAATTCAGTTTTGTTAAACAAACCAACCAACCCTCATATAGCTAGTTACCTCCTTTCATGATTAAGCAGGCAAACATTAATCCATAAATGCTAGCACAGCTTCTTTGAGACCAGGTGATTGCAGGTTGCTTAATCCGTGCTGCTCCTCAGCTGCAAAGTGAGAAGGACAAAACTTGCCTCTATGCCTCAGAAAGAAACCTTAAAGATACCCGAGTTAGGTCCTGGAGGGATGGCTCAGTGGTTGGTGCTTTTCCAGATGACTTGGATTCAAGTCCTAGTGTCCACATGACAGCTCACATCCATCTGTAGCCCCAGGGCACCCGCCTACCTGGGCGCGCTTACACAGAAAATAAAAATTAAAAGGAAAAAAAAAATTAAGAAGAACAAGAAAAAAACTCCTTAAGAAGTGGTTTGATTTGTAGTGAAATATTGTTTCTGCATTCAAGGTGTAGGTTTGTGTAGAATACAGTTTATCAAATTTATTTAACGTTTACCTAGAGTGAAATTCACTCGTGTATAGTTGTTTTAATAAATGTCAAGAAGTGTGTATCACCATCCCAATAATGATAGAAAATTTTTCTACAAGCCTACAAAATCCCCTCTTCTATTTCTTTGTAATTGATCCTGCCTCATTTGCCAACTACTGCTCTGTTTCCATCTCTGTTATTTTTCTTTTTCTAGAGTGTCATAAGTGGAATACTTTGGCTATGTAGATTTTTCTTTTTGAGATACAATTTCACTATGTATCCCTGGCTGGCCTGGAACTTACAGAGAATCCTCTTTGCCTTATCCTCGGGAGTGCCGGAATTAAAGGGGGGTGCTGTCACATTTGGCTCCTGTGTAGCCTTCTGAGCCAGGCTTCTTAACAGATTGCAGAGAAGTGCATGTATCATCTCATCTGTGTACTGCACACATCTCTTTGGCCTGCCATCCCTGTACTTCTGAGTGGTGTTTCACATCATGGCTGTGTTATAAACATATGCCCCCCCACCCCCTTATCTCTTTTTGGCAGTTAAAAGGAAAGCTGCATTAGGTTTTAGTGTGAACTAAATCATTTCTTTGAGGTAAATACCTAAGGGGGATTGTGAGTGATAAGTAATTACGTAACATTATGAGAAGTGACATGATGCATTTTGGTTATGGTCTGATTGTGTCTCCTAAAAGTTCTGTAATGGAAGCTCTGCCCTTAGTTCAGTGCTGATAACAGGTGCTGGGTCTTTTAGAAGTCCATGCTCTGGAAGGGACATGGTTTTGCCAGCTGCAGATCTTTTCTGCAAGTGTGTGGTAAGTGTTAGAGCCCCAGAGGCCTGAGGTGGCTGCTGTTCCCTCTGCTGCAGCCACCGTTGCTCTCTACACTGGTAGCAAGTTTTATCCCGTGGCATTTACTGCACACCTGTTCTTCTGCCAGAGGTTGTATAGGAAGATATTCAGTCAGGACATACATAGTTCCTGGTTTTAAGAACCTAGAAGCCTTAAATACACAAAGAAGGAACAAACAAATAATTCTCTCTCTCTTTTTTCTTTCTTTTCATTTCTCTTTTCTTTTCTTTCCTTTTTGTTTTTGGTTTTCTGAGACAGGGTTTCTCTGTCTAGCCTTGGCTGTTCTGGACTTGCTTTGTAGACCAGGCTGGCATGGAGCTCACAGAGATCTGCCTGCCTCTATATCCCTGAGTGCTGGGATTACAGGTGTGTGCTACCATGCTGGGCTGCAACAAATAATTCTTATGATCTAGGGGAGACTTCCAATTCTCATTTCCTAAATTTTATCTTTACATATACATTCTAAGATGTTTCCGTAGACCTTTAAATTATAACTCAATACATATTAATTGTGTAAAAGACATTTCTATTCATTCATTACACATCCACCGTGCTGTAACCACTCTTTCTTTTTTCACTTTTTCTGATGTATCTTCCACTCCCCTTTGCTAATAGTCCTCCTACCATTTTCAGGTTTTCTTTTCTGTTTTTTAGTTTCTACCTATCAGAGAGGAATATATGTCATACTTGGCGTTCTGCCCTATGATGTCCTCCAGTTCCATCCATGATGTGCAGTTTCATTCTTTATATCTATCTCATATTTCCCTTTCCAACTCATCAGTTGATGGATATGTAGGCTGACCTATACTTGGACTTTTGTAAGTAGTGCTGCAATAAACATGATTCTTTATGCCCCTCTTGTATTCTGACTCCTTTGATTTGAATTTACTTGTATACCTGGATCATAAGATAATTCTGTGTTTAGTTCTTTGAGAAATTAACATACTGTTTTCCTTAGAGTCTATCCTAATATTATTCTCACCAGTAACGTATAATATTTTTTAAAGCTGATACTATATCTTTCCTGGCATTTGCTTTTGTTTGTTTTGAGACAGGGTTTCATATATAGCCAGGGCAGTAGTTTTTATTTTTTTGTTTGAGTATCAGCCATTTTGGTTGGATTAAGACAGTATCTCAGTGTAATCTTGACTTGCATTCCACGATAGCTAAAGCTATTAAGCACTTTTTATTGTATTATTTGCCATTTATGCTTCTTAAAAAGAAGTGTCTGTTCAGATCATTTGACCATTTTTGGACAGGATTACTTGCTCATTTGTATTCTTTGTGTGTGTGTGTGTGTGTGTATGCATGTGTGTGGGCATATAGGTGTACAGCACTGTATGCATTTGCTTGTAGAGTCCAGAGGCAAACCTTTTTTTGTTCCTTAGGCTATGTCCACCTTTGTGTTTTGAGACAGGTTCTCTCACTGGTCTCACTGGAATTTGCAAAGTAGACTAGGCTAGCCAGCAAGCCCCAGGGATCTGCCTATCTCCTCCTGAGCACTGAGATTAAGAGTGTGCCTCATTATGATACCCCCTCTCTCCTCTCTCTCCTCCCATTCTTTTCTCTCTCCCTCTCTCTCTTTCTCTCTCTCTCTCTCTCCAAGGTCTTATATATAGCCCTGGAAGGCCTGGAACTCCTCTGCAGGAAGACCAAAGTCATCTTGAAACAAACAGATAACCAAAAATGAAGGAATGAATGAATGAATGAATGAAAGTGGAGTCTGGGAATCTAACTGCATTTTACCAAATTAGCTACCTCTCCAGCCTCATTTGTATTCTTCACGGTTTTTACATATTCCAGATAGTATTCCTTGTCAGGTGAATAGTTGGCAAAGACTATTTCCCAATGTTTAGTAATTCCTTGAGAATTTCATACCGTGTTTTTTAATATATTCACTCTCCTCCCCTAACTCCTTTCCACCTTTCCTTCACTTCCCATCCAACTTTGAGTTTTCTTCTTCCCCGTTCATTCAGTCCAGCGTGTTTTCCAATTAGTCTCGGGAGTGGGGCTCTGGCTTCTTCCTCTTTCAGCAGCTGTTAGATACCAATAGTTACTTCTTAGCTAATGGTGATATTTTATGTTTACTCCCCTGTCTGGTCCCCATGCTGAGCTTTTGTCAGGATTGAACTTGTGCGTGCTGTCATAATCACTGTGAGGTTATATGTGAAACTGCCTGGTTGTGTACGGAAAAGTTTCTTTGATGTTATCTCCATCTCTGGGCTCTTGTAATCTTTGCATCCTCCCTTCTTTAATATCCCCTAGCCTTAGGAGAAGGGTTTTGGTAAATATGTACCCCTTAAGGCTGAGCACTCTACACTCTTATTCTCTGCGTGTTGGCCAGTTGAGGGCCTATGTGTCATTTGACATATACTGTAAGGAGACGCTTCTCTGATGAAGTCTGAGTAAGTTTGTATCCATAAGTAGAGCAATAGCATATAGGAATTGTTTTAGTAGTATGTCCATTTAACAGAATAATAGTGTTGGGTTCTCTTCTAGGGTCTACGACCAAGGTAGCCAGAAGTTCTAGGTCCCTATAACAGGTCCAGGTATGAGTTCCATCTCATAGAACAGGCCTTAGAGCCAATCAGAAAGTGATTGGTTATTCCTATAACATTTGCACCACTATTGCACCAGTGGGGATATTTTGTGAGTCTCGTCAAAGTCTGCAGGTCTTAGTCACTGAGTCATTTGCCAGTATTTCTTAGGTTTTTTTTTTTGTTTGTTTGTTTGTTTGTTTGTTTTTCCTGTATTCTTGTATTATCTGTTGGTGAGTGAGGTATTGGACTTACCTACTA